TGCCTTTGCACAGTCATGCACTGTTCAGTGCGAAACTACAGCCCTACAAGGAAAACACTGCACAGGATTTGAGCAGGTAAAAAGTGTTATGGAGTTCAGGACTCTGGTTACACATTCATCCCCAAAGGAGTGCCAGGCTGCAGCACTAGAAGTGACCTGAAGGGGCAAGGGACAAGTACTGAGTCACTTCCCGTCCTAGATTTCACCCATCCAATTAACGGTTTACCCGAAGCTGAATGGCATGGAAGAACCACGGGTACAAAACAACTCCATCACCACCTCTCCCTCCTTACTGCTCTCCCCCATCTCCCTTCATCCCAGTGGAACAGGGGCTGGAGCCATGTTCAACCCAGTCTTGCTGCCTTGCCTTCTGCCATTCCTTCCTCTGCTGCTTCTCCTCTCTAATTACTCCTCCATCAGAGGTGGCCTCCTCCCACCCAACCCAAACACACACCTCAGCCCACGGTGCCCTTACTTTTCTACTCTATTTATGCACAATATCCCTAGTGTAGGAACCACATTCTCTTCACACCCCTCCTGCCTCGCTCCTATCTGATGTATTTAACAAGACCCACTGGATTCACTTGCCAGGCCCAGCCCACCCTGCCTGTCATCCATCACTCCCACTTCTGTGCAGCAGGACACCAGCCCCTGCCACCTGCTCATTTGATTTTTATTTTTGTGGTAACCTTTGTGCTTTGAAAACACCCTCCATACAACTGCATAACCCTCCTCCAAATTCTCCTTCACTTGGCAAGAGTGGGAGCACTGCCTAATGCTAAGCCATCCCTTCCCAGTATCCACGGTATCCATTTTTTGCCCTCCTCCCTCCGCCTATAACCATCTATTGCCCCTACTCTTACACTAAATCTCTCAGCTGTGGGTCAAACACTGCTGCCCTGTCCTGCCTGGGCAGTGCCTAGCTTTGCAGCACCGGCTGCAGGCTGGGACCAAGACTCAGGGTTTTGGAAAACAGAACTACCCAGCGTTCTGCCTCCCCTGGCCAGGAGCTGGCTGCAGCCCTTTGCCGCCGGCTGTCCTGCAGTGCCCTCTACTGAGCCAGAGACACCTGCTCTCCCGGGTCTCCACGCTGCTGCTTTCTGTAGGATAGTTCTCTACTGCTCCTTGTCCTAATTTGGCAGAACCACAAGATCCAATTCACTCCCCCGGTGCCAGCAGGCAGTGCCCAGGAAGAGCCATCTGCCACACGATGCGGCGTTTTGCCCTTTGCTGTCCCCCAATTTCTGGGTACAACGTTTTCACATCCAGTTGTTCCCAGCACCCAGGGGCTAATAAAGCAGAAAAGGCAAATAGGCAAGGTCCAGCCTTTTGCACTTGAAAAGCCTCATCACGGAGACCTCCCTGCTCAGCTCAAGGCCCAGGCATGGCAGGCGCCGGCACCACACCCACCACTCCCTGTGAGTGATAGGATGAATTTAGGCATAGAGTGCTGCTTTCTCTGTACCTGTGAGCAATCGTCAGAACGGTTTTGTCAGCAAAGCGCTGGCGGATGGTCTGCTGCAGCAGCTGGTCTGTCTTCTGATCCACGCTGGCCGTGGCCTCATCGATGCACAGAACCTGCCAGGGACAGAGAGTGAAGGAAGCTCCCAAGCACCACAGGGGAGACCCCATTCCCTGGCCAGGGACAGCCCAAGAAGGTAACACAGGTTGTCTGTTCCCACTACACCCCGATTCTGGAGCATGACCATCAG